CATCTTCACTTCCCTTCCCTTCCATCTTCCCTTTCCTTTTCTCTTCTCCTCTCCTCCCTTCCCCTCTCCCCTCCCCTCTTCCCTTCCATCTTCACTTCCCTTCCCTTCCATCTTCCCTTTCCTTTCCTTTTCTCCTCTCCTCCCTTCCCCTCTCCCCTCTTCCCTTCCATCTTCGCTTCCCTTCCCTTCCATCTTCTCCTTTCATCTCCTCTCTTCCCTTCTCCTCTCCTCCCCTTCTCTTGTCCTCTCCCCTCCCCTCTCCCCTTCCATCTTTACTTCCCTTCCTTTTCACCTTCTCCAACATAGTTCATTAAAAATGCCGCACCTTTTTGTGCTTTAATATTTACCCTGTTTCCCTGAAAATAAGACCTCCATGGATAATAAGCCCAATCGGGCTTTTGAGCGCATGCGCTAAAATAAGCCCTCCCTCAAAAATAAGTCCTCTCTGAAAATATCGCAACACAGCAGCAGCCATGAGGGGACCATGCTCGCTGCCTCCTGCACCTCAAAAATAATAAGACCTCCCCCGAAAATAAGGCCAAGCGCTTATTTCGGGGGTCAAAAGAAAATAAGACCCTCAAAATAAGTGCTTGGCCTTATTTTCGGGGAAACATGGCATATACCGCTTGTGTTTCTTGACTTTCTTACCCGTCATTCTCATTGTCTTCCTTTGGTGTCGCACAGGCACCAGAATTACACAACTTGTATGGGAATTCCGAAGGAAATACATTGACTCCATTGTGTGTGGGAAAAGATCCCAAATCAATTTGGAAGCCAAGTTCTGCAGTAGAGGATGGCAGGGATCAAAAAGCTCTTAGAGTACATTTTATCGGTCACAAGATTTTAGGTTTCAAAGACGCCGTGGAATTTTTTAATAAAGGAACATTTTGAAGAATTACTTGCTTATAATCTTTTGATAATCTTCGTTCTGATGAGCGCATGATGAGAACGGCAGACTTGCCAGTAAAGTACTTAAACATGTTTTGTTTTTTTTTAAACAAAAAAAAATATTTGGACTGTGGATTCAGTTCTTGATAATCAGGCCTGTGGAAAATAACGTTTGTTTACATTTGTTGTAGTTCACAATTGGACACAAGAAGAGACGCTTCAGTGGTTGGTGGAATTTGTCGAACTTCCTCAGTACGAGAAGAATTTCAGAGAAAATAATGTCAAAGGAACAACATTGCCAAGGTCCTTTTTCCAATCTACTTAATCTCAGTAGAAGTTGTACCTTGATATTGTCCATCTTGATCACTATTTGGAAAGAAGAAAGCAAATAGAACAGAACAGAACGGAATGGAGGAATATGGACTAGAATAGAAAGAGGAATAGAATAGCAATAGCAATAGCAGTTAGACTTATATACTGCTTCATTGTGCTTTACAGCCCCCTCTAAGCGGTTTGCAGAGTCAGCCTCTTGCCCCAAACAATCTGTGTCCTCATTTTACCCACCTCGGAAGGATGGAAGGCTGAGTCAACCTTGAGCCTGGTAAGATTTGATCTGCCAAACTATTGGCAGCAGGCAGCCAGCAGAAGTAGCCTGCAGTACTGCACTCTAACCACTGCTCTACTGCGGCTCCTGAATAGAATAGGGATAGGGATAGGATAAGATAGAATAAAATAGAATGGAGAAGGATAGGATAGGATAGAATGGAGGAGAATAGGATAGGATAGAATAGGTCATACAAATACATTCATCATAAATCAACACAGTGATAGGCATCAGATACTAAATAAGCAATCAACATAAATGATACTGGGATACTAAAAAAAAAAGAAAGCATTTTCTGGGAAACACAAATACTTCGTTTGTTTTTATCATGCTTCCAGCGTGCATCAAATACGAACAGTGAAATATATCAATACCAAAGTAATTTAGATATTTATATTAAGATATTGTTTACAGATTCTTTTCTTCAGTGCAGGATTATGCATTTACACGACACAATTATATCTGTAATGATTAGATGTGATTACATGGCATTTATATCCATTATTTTTAAAGGCTACAAGTAGGAAGCCTAATTATATCAATCTACAAGTCTCTTGTGCAACAGCACAGCCACTGTCCTTCATTGGGAATATTGTAACTGTATTTCATATATGAGGGATTTAAGGGATAAAATTATAGCCTTAAACCTTGCACATGTGGACAGATAGAGAGACAGACAGACAGACAGACACACACACACACACACAAACACCAAATTTAGCTTTCTGGACATGAAGTCTTTGCTCTTACCACAACACCGATGATGATTTTGAAGTGGCTGTGGATGAGGATGAGGTGATGGAGTTGGAAGAGGAGGTGGAGAAGGATATAACATTATTGAGAAGGACGGTTCCATCCTTTATGCAGGATGATCTTTAGCCAGCTGCACAAATCTCACAGATGAACATTTTTGTGTACAGGTAGACTAACAAAAGTTCATTTAGTGGCCAATCAAAGTTACAGTGGCACTGAAAAATGTGACTGTATGACCATTTTTCACAGTTACGACCTTTGCAGCATCTCCATGATCCTGGGATCAAAATTTAGGCACTTGGCCATGGGCTCATATTTATGACGGTTGCGGTGTCCTGGTGTCACGTGATTTCCCGCTTTGGGACGGTCTGACAAGCAAAGTCAATGGGGAAGCCAGATTCACTTAACAACTAGGTTACTAACTTAATTAACTGCAGTGATTCCCTTAACAACTGTAAAATTGAGCTGAACTCCCTTAACAAATGTCTCTCACTTAACAACAGAAATTTGGGGGTCGACTGTGACAATATGTCAAGGACTACCTGTATTTATTTTAGTGTATTACAGACATTTTGCTATTTCTGTACCTGTAATCCATGAAACGGGTGACTGGAAAACCACAGGGCCTCCGTGATTGTAGATTTTTGAACACAACACAGTATGCATTTTACTTACGTCCTTAAGAGTTCTTTTCAGGACAGCATTCTTAAAATCCCCATTTTATTGTGCACAGGATAGCAGTAAATGAACCTGCGTTTATGATGTATCAGTTGAAAATTATTGATTGGAGCCACAGGCAGAAGCTTCACCTGAAGGCCTTGGATGTGGTTTTATTTGGACCTCTTACACGTTAGTATATCTTCACTATCTTCCGTAAAAGTTTGTGTTATTTGTAACGACTAGCAGAGTTAATGCTTTCTGATATTCCTCCCACGTTGATGCTTCTGTGTATATTTACAAGTGCTATTACTTAATGACTTTGTGAATGAATTTCCATCCCATTTTGACATATTTGTGTCAGTGACGTGTTGTGGCCCGCCAGGGACCAGCAGAGCTGGCAGCAGATTCGGGCAGTGAGGAGGTTGGGGAAGAACATGGGCCAGTCATGGAGTCTGGGGAAGGCTCTGACGAGTGCTGTGTGCAGAGATGGGGCCAGGGCTGTCTGACAGTTATCAGCTGCCTTCGGAGTCAGACATCAGTGAGGCAGATGAACAGCTGGAGCCTGTTCCCAGTGTGCACAAATACAGAATTGCCAGACGAAGGGAACAACTAAGGAACAAGGGTCAACTTGGGAGTAAGGCCACAGCTGGACATTGAATGGCCCCTCCCAGAGGAAATAAAAGAGGAGCGAAAGGGGAGTGGAGTTTGCAGGAGGCAATTAGTTCATTCCTGCATTCTTGCCAGGTATTGCAGCATCTGAAAGATATCACCCTGGTCATTCTCCAAGCATGATAAAAGTTGGTAATTGTGAACTATCTTGAAAGACTGTGGTAGAGGAAAGAGGGATTTGCTGGAGAGGAATTCACTATAAATTAAATAAAAGGGGTTTATCGGGACCAGGACTCAGCTTCGTGTTGCTGGGGAAGCCTAGGGGAAAACATGAGGAGGACAAAATAAATTGCAGAAGGGAAAATGTGAACATTTACATCAGGAGCCCAATTACTCTTGAACCAGAGTAGAAATTACCATATTTTTCAGAGTATAAGATGCACCTTTCCCCCCCAAAAAGAGGGTGAAAATTTGGATGCATCTTAAACACCCCCCCTCCCCACTGGGCGGCTGCTCGTAAACGTGGTCACCTCATGGCTGCTTCACCTCTGAGGCTATACCCGGCTCTTCAGGAGCCTGCTCACAAGGGAGCAGCTGCCCAGCAATTCCCCCCTCTGGCCAGGCAGAATGCCACTCCCCAACCTAGCGGTATCTCGAAGATGCCAAGCTACATGAGCGCCTTTCCCCCCAGCTCTTGCGGCTTGGCGTCTTCGGGATACCGCTAGGTCGGTGAGCAGTGCTCTGCCTGGCCAAAGGAGGGGGGTTGTCCAGGGGGCTTATTTTCAGGGGGGGCTTATATTTTTTCCCTCCCAAAAAATGTGGCAAGGCCTTAGTTTCAGGACAGGTCGTATTTTCGGGGAAACACGGTACATTACCAAAAGCAGGTTTTCCAAAGCAGCAGTAAATATAAGTAAAACACATCAGTTTCACTTTCAGTTCTCGGCTAAGCCAGACTCCTTCATGTCTCCTTGTTGCTCACACAGCAAATTTCAGAGTCCAAATAGCCCTCATTGGCTGACTTAGTTGCTATGCCTATTCATTGGCTGACCTAGTTACCATGTGTCAGCTGAATACCATGGATGCTGGTAGGCAGAGGCAGAATTTTTTCTCTTCTTATTTTCCTCCCCAAAAGCTAAGGTACGTCTTATACTCCGGAGCGTCTTATACTCTGAAAAATGCGGTACTAGTTGTTGCAGCAATACAACACCCTACCCTATGGGCTTTCTTCCTTTATACATGCTATATATAAAGCCTGTTCATAGGAGAATAATGCAGATCCAGTTATATATGTTAGGAAAATTAAAATGTTGAGAAACCCGTAAAGTCACTTTGGTTTAGCCATTTGTGGTGCTCTCCTTGCCTCCGCTTGGAAAGCCTGTTGCATTTGCATAGAACAACCGAAGCAATAGCAATAGCAATAGCAGTTAGACTTATATACCGCTTCATAGGGCTTTCAGCCCTCTCTAAGCGGTTTACAGAGTCAGCATATTGCTCCCAACAATCCGGGTCCTCATTTTACCCACCTTGGAAGGATGGAAGGCTGAGTCAACCTTGAGCCTGGTGAGATTTGAACCGCCGAACTGCAGATAACAGTCAGCTGAAGTGGCCTGCAGTACAACACTCTAACCACTGCGCCACCTCGGCTCTCTGCTATTCAAATATAATTTAGGTCAGGCACCTGAGAAATCCTCTAGGGTGATTATTAATTGCTTCCCAGCATGGGGAGGTTTACATTTTATTTCTTTTAATTTTGTCGAGTCACAAATGATTGAAATAGACGTGGATATGGCATCTTATGCTGGTAAAACTATTTCTCTGTGTTTATTTTTATTTTTTTAGATTTGTTTGGCAAGGCTATTTTAGACTCACACTTGCCCAACTGGATATCTTGTTCTTTAAGCAAGTCAAATAAGAACCCTGCGTGATTATTATGGGATTCTTTCAATTTTCAGGAGCGTGGGGCAGACCATAGGTTACAGAACCCTCCCCCCCTCCTTCAATCTAGTCAATGTACTTAGTTCTTTGGAAACAGGCTTTTAAGTTTTTAAAAAAAATATTGGGCTAGGTTAGACGCGGTAAAAAAAGAGACCAGGAATTCGAGTAACATAGTTTTCAAAGCAAGCGGTGGCTGTTCCGTCCCAAGGACTGGCCCATAGATTTCCACTGCTCTCCTCTCCTCTGCCTTCTGTACATCCACACATCAGGCACTCAGGGATCTTCCGTCCCAAGGACTGGCCCATAGATTTCCACTGCTCTCCTCTCCTCTGCCTTCTGTGTATCCGCAGGCACTGGACCTAGCTGTTCTTCCTCTTCCTCATCTGCTACCTCCAGACCTGGGGGCTATTGACTCTCCATCTGAGGGCTGATGGCCGGCCCAGGCTCTGCCTCTCTCTGTCTCTCTCTCTGCCAGCTCCATTCCCTCTTCCCCCTCGGAGCTCCCAGGTTCCCTAGATGCTGACCCTGACTCCCAGGCCTCCTTCTCATCTGATTTGTCTCCCGGAGGGGCTAGCGGCCGACAGGCCACAACAGTAAAGTTAAAAACAAGCCAAAGTCGTAAACTCTACCACAAGAGGTATCTGAGTAACATGTATTTTAAGTCAAAGAGAGTTTTCGAAATCTTTCCCAGGTCTACATCCGAGAAGGATAAGCAGTGCCTCTTTTCTTTATCCGAAAACAATGCCGAAATACGTTTTTTTCCCTCCCCCCAAACTCACCTCGCTGTCTTTTCTAGGCCCACCCCACAATTGGATGAAAGATTTTGTACTCACAATCTCCATCATGATTGGTATCGGAGGTTGCTGGTTTGCCTATGCACAGAACAAGACTTCAAAAGAGCACGTTACCAAAATGATGAAAGACTTGGAAAGCCTTCAGACCGCCGAGCAGAGTCTTTGTGAATTGCAAGAAAGGTATTTTGAGAACGCTGGGATTATACACTCTTATTACGGTGTTCAAAAACTGTACAGGATTGTTATTACAAAATGTGACATGCCCCAAAGCTGAGAAAACAGTGGCTTCCAGCTCCCCTTTACTTTACATTCTCTCTATGTTAAGCTTAGTTAAGCTAGTTAACGTAAAGTTAAGCTTATATTAAGAGGAATATTGATGTCAACGCATGAAGTTGCCATGGTGAGGAAAGGGTGGGGCGCATTCCACGCATACCTTCGGCTAGAGTTGGATCTCAGATTACCACAGCAGGCTCGTGTGAGGTGCACCTCCTTGGAGAATGTGATTTATGACACAGACTGAGGGAAGGGAAGGAACAGCTATACTTCAAATGAGGCTCAGATCTGACTGCAATAGGGTATTGCCAAAATGGTGCTCCTAATAAACGACTGGTTTTCTTTTGAAACTTGGCTCGAGGCTCATGAATCAATTTAGGGCATATCTTTCGGAAACCTGACAATTGACATGTTTGATTAAGCCAAAATGCTCCTGGTCTGATTTAGCATAATTTCAGAACGAAATCTGACCGATTTATCAAGAGATTGGCAATCGTTCACTATTCTGCCCTCCACTTTGATGCGATGCTTATAATCATGTTCAAAAGTGTTTGCCCAGTTAATTGAACCGTGCACGGAAAGAGATAAATGTGGTTATTATTTTATTTTTTTTGCTAAAAATGTCCCCCCCTCCCCCCCCCAAAGGCTTGAAAAGGCACAGGAAGAGAATCGCAATGTTGCCGTAGAAAAGCAGAACTTAGAACGCAAGATGATGGATGAAATCAGCGATGCCAAACGAGAAGCCTGCCGGCTCAAAGAGTTGAGGGAAGGAGCTGAATGTGAACTCAGCAGGCTTAAATACGCAGAAGAGGAACTGGTGCAGGTATTTTTCCAGTTACATTCCAAGCTTCGGTTTGCATCTGAGTTTTGTGTCGCTTGCAAAACTTCTTGTAAAAAAAACTTCCAACTTTACATCTAGAAGCTGTTATCTCTATCTATGGAGATTCTCAGTCATCTAGTGTTGTGGCCCGCCAGCAGAGCTGGCAGCAGACTCGGATACTGAGGATGTTGGGGAGGAAGATGGGCCAGTCCTGGAGTCTGGGGAAGGCTCTGATGAGGGCTCTGTGTCGGAGGCAGAGAGGGGGCCAGAGCCGTGTATGAGTTATCAGCTGCCTTCAGAGTCAAACATCAGTGAGGCAGATGAACAGCTGGAGCCTGTTCCCAGGGGGCACATGAGTATTGCCAGACGAAGGGAACAGCTAAGGAACAAGGGTTGACTTGGGAGTAAGGCCACAGGTGGACGGTGAATGGCCCCTCCCATGGGGAATAAAAGAGGAGCGAAAGGGGAGTGGAGTTTGCAGAAGACCATTAGTTCATTCCTACATTCTTGCCAAGCATTGCAGCATCTGAAAGATATCGGCCTGGCCACTCTCCAAACCTGATAAAGATCGGTAATTGTGAACTATCTTGAAAGACTGTAGGAGAGGAAAGACTTTGCTGGAGAGGAATTCACCGTAAATTAAATAAAAGGGGTTTATCGTGACCAGGACTCGGCTTTGTGCTGCTGGGGAAGCCCAGGTCAGAACATTCCCTCCTCATCCAAGAAGCTTCTTCAGCTCTGACTGGATAGCGGGGAATGGAAGGATTTATCCTCCTTGCAGTCAGCTGGCCATTAGCATTCTTTTAAAGTAGGGTGTCGAACTTGATTTCATTGAGGGCCGCATCAGGGTTGTGTTTGACCTCAGGGGGGCATGGCCAGCTCGACATCACTCGTATCAGTGGCGCCTGTGGTGGCCTGAGCGCTCTGCCAGAGAAAATGGGCTCCCGGGTTCCGTTTCTGGCTGTGACAGCCTCCTGCAACCCTCTGCCAATGAAAATGGAGCTCAGAAGGGCTGTGGGAGGCCGTCGCGAGCTCCGTTTTCAGCTGTGATGGCCTCCTGCAACCCTCTGCCAATGAAAATGGAGCTCAGAAGGGCTGTGGGAGGCCGTCGCGAGCTCCGTT